TTTTTACTTTTTTTCTTTTTGGTGGGCCTGGGGTTTGAACTCAGGACTTCACACTTGCAAAGCAGGGCTTACCACTTGAGCCACTCCTCCAGTCCAAGAGGTAGAAATTTGTATGAAGTAGAAAAGAGAGGGCTGTTTTCAAAACCACATGTCTTTGAGCTGGTGATGAGGTCCAAACCACAAATGGTGGCTGGCCTTTGACAGCATATAAACATTGTTTTATTATAGCAGGCAGAAAGGCAGAGCCTGAGGATACAGAGGTAGGTAAGTGGTAGCTTTTGTGATGATTGATCAGGTGGTTGCATGTGCCCTGTTCTTTTCAATGAAGTATGAGCTGGGGAAGGAATGGAGGCTGTCCTTCTAAACAAGGAGTTGCCCTGGAGATCCAGCCCTCCTTTTAACATCTTCCTTGTTTTCTCTTTTTTTCCCCATAGTGCAAACCCTAACCCTTTTCATAAGGATCATAAGAGAATATTTTCCCCTCAGAGAGATAGTACAAGAAAACTTAATTCTTTTTTAGCCCTTGCTAGGTGATACAACACTTCTTTGCTTATACTTAAAAAACACAATTTTGCATGATTTTTTTTTTCATTTCCTATTACGTCTGCAGTCAAAATTAGGTTGCAAATTTATGAAGGAAAGATGTGACTGTAGGGCTGGTGAAGTGGCTGAAGTGGTAGAGGGCCTGCCTAGCAAGCATGAGACCCTGAGTTCAAACCCCCGTGCAAGCCAAAAAACAAAAACAAGTGCTTAGACACATTCTCTGTCCAGAGACCATTAAAAAAAAAGATGTGACTGTAAGAATACCATACCTTCATTGACTCAACAAATACTTACTAGCCAGGCATGGTGGGGTATGCCTGTAATTCCAGCACTCGGGAGACTGAGGCAAGAGGATCCCGAGTTCCAGGCCATCTTGGGCTACTAGTGAGAACCTGTCTCAAAACAAAGAACAGAACCCACAAGTACTTCGCACTGATGTCAGGCACCGTTTTATAACATTGAGTCAGAGGCATAAAGCCTCTGGCTGCAAGGTGTTCACAGCCAGGAGACTCGATGAGCTATGCGCTTTGTGGTATATAACAAGTGCTATGAAAAAAGAGGAGCAAAGAAGGGAATCTGAGCATGAGACAAACCCAGTGCTTGGTAAACACTGTTGGTAATGATGCTGAATCAATCTTAGTAATCAAAGAGAAATGATCCTCTGTTCTTACAAATTCTAAAGGAATAAAATCATCAAAGTGGAGAATCAACTGCATATTTGCCTGAGTAGTAAGACTGAGAGTCTCCAGGATGTGGAACATTCCTGGAAAACAGACACCTTCAAAGAGCTAGATGCAGAGATGAGAGAGAGAGGACGTGGGTAAACATTGGGAGGACTAAAATAAACCAGTAGATGGAATTCTTAATTCCATAAGTTAAGGATCAAAACAAATTAGGAGAGTTTCTGGGTGGGCACTGAGAGATGCTGCTAATATGGAGAGAATGTGGATTACAATAACTTTTGCGTTCTCAGTATTACATCCTTGAAACATAGGCTTCTGCTTCTTATACTGATACAGTCATGCAGGTTCTTTTGTCTTCTGTTTGTATGCTTTTATTTGAGTTCACCACATCTGTAACATCCAGAGTGGGCACATTTTACTGTTCCCTGCAGCACCTTTCATAGCAGGTATCTAAATGTCAAATCCCAAATAAAATCCACCTCTGCTGCTACTAGGGTAACCCGCAGAAGTGGAGGGCTTCCATGAGAGGGTTTCCTCTCACTTTGCTGCTGCATCCATGCACAGCTACCAAAGCTGCCACTTTGTACCAGAGCCACCACAAATGGCTGACCTCACTTTGATGTGGCTCAGAACCTTGCTAAGTTCTCCCTGAAGTTCCAAAACTCCTTCCCCCACTTTGAGGCACTTTCTGTTTCATGAGTTTCAATTCAGATCTGCTCTACACTTCTGATATCCAAAATGGTTTGTTGTTTTGACAAATATCTCTTTCTGTTTCATGTGCTCTCTGCTAGCAGCAGAGAAAAACTGATGGGACTCTAATGGAAGGTGAAGTTGCAACCATTATGTTGTACTCAGTCACCTCTGTGTTGCACCACTACACCAAGCATGTCTCACTGACTCTGCTCCCTTCAGAAGACTGATTTCTCATCCCTATGTCACAGAGATTCTAGGTCTCTCTCACTCGTTCTCAAGATATGTTTAAAAAGCCTGAACTCGTAAAGGTAATTCAGTTTAGACTTAGTCTTGGACACTGATCTCATCAAACAATTCCTACTTGATTTTATTTGGTACTTGCCTGTCTAACAGGCCTCAAAAGAAAGATGATCCAAGCAGACACACAGCAAATGTTAAGGGTTAAGGGATTATGTATGGAGGCCCTGAGCCCTGTAGGTCTTTGCTCTGAGTTCTTCTCCCACCAGGCAGGCAGAGTTGCAAGAAATGTCCTACCAGATGGTGGGATCTTATGGCATGGAAACAGTAAGAAATGAGTTCAAGGCACATATTACAAGTAAGATAGGCAAGGCTGCTTTATTGGAACTTTGGCTTATGTGGGTGGACTCAAGGCAAAGGGAGATAACACTAACCAGGGGTAACCAGACTGCTCACTCAAACAAAAGGAGCAGCAGGCTTTATTGACTTTGTTGAGGAATAGACCAAAGTTTGGTAATTGTCCATTAGTCATGGGCACTGTTTCAAAAGATGATGTTCTTGTGTGCAAACATCTTGACCTTACACTTGGGTGGGCTACCATGTGGTCAACTCCACTTAGGAACTGCAGAGTTAAGCTACCATCAGCATTTTGCATAAATGTCCTGGCTTGTCATAGTGCTAAAGGACTTTTCTGTGCTTGAGTTGCCAAGAAAGTGCAAGGGCAGAAAACAAGAAACACACATCCATTCTAATGGCAATAAGCCAAGTTAACCCTGTATTATGCTCCTGAACAAAACATTTTTCAAATGACCCATGTTTTGAGCCAGCAAAATGTACAGATATGATAGGAAAACAGAGATGCCAAGGTTTTTTTTTTTTAATCCAATTTTAGTTGTCCATTAGACATCTGTAGGTTCTAGTGAAGAGTCAATGTTTTTAGCAAACTGCCTTCAAATTTCTAGGAAGTAACTTAGGCATTGTTACCATCATTCACACATTAGAAGTGTTATTTTAAAGCATACCATGATTCTGCTCTGACAGGCTGCCTGACATCTCAGTTGTTTCTGGTAGCTTACTGAGGACATCTCATGGGATGAAATTTTTCTCAGTTAATAATTCCCACCTTGTCTTTGTTTATGCATCCATTAAACACATACCTTTCCTGTTTTTCAGCTTCCTTTAGTGGTACAGAGCTCCTAGTCTGTAAACATTTTAGCCTTGTGGTCTAATCTGGTGTTTTATGACAAAGATATTCAGAGAGTGTAAGGAAGAAAGCAGAAGAAAATACATGTTTTCAACAGGTAATGTTGGGGGCTGGTGTCAAGAGTTATTGCCTTCACAGGCGGAAGAATTGGCTCGTGAGGTAGTAAATTGACTCATGGGATGACAAGGTCAGCACACAAAGTAGGATTTATTAGAGAAAAAGGAAAAGCTGCCCCTAGAGATGGACAGGGAACCCAGAAAAATCTGTAGCTCTCTTCATTTACAAGTTTTTTTTTTTTTAAATCTGGTCCTTTTTGTTGGGGAGGGGAGTTGGGTGGACATATCTCTGTGAGTACACACTCTGTTGGGGAGGAGAGTCAGGAGTCAGGGGTGGAGTGGTCTTTTAATGTATCTCTGCAGGAGCATGTACACAGTCCTGCAAAAGCCTCCAGTTTATTGGCCTTGTGGCATTTTGAGGCATCCCCAGGGGGCCATGCCTTGTGAAATTGCATGTCTCTTTACAGGATGTAGGGCTCATAGTGCTCTCATGGGGGATGGAGGCACCGGCTCATTTTGTCTTCTGATCCCCCAGACCCAACAGTTAACAAGTTAAGGGCCCAGAGTTTATTTGCCTTTTGTCCCCTTGTGTTTCAGTTTGGCCCAATGAAACAGAGTTGATTCATCCCAGCACTATCAGGTTGTGAATTTAGCAAACAGAAGTAGACAGTGGCAGCAGCAGTCACAAGCTACTTTTACAGGGACCCAAGGACAATGAGGACTTAAGAAAATGCAGGAGTAGAACAGCAGGTGCCCTAGGTCAGTGGAATTCCAAATTTGGATCCAGGGTGTTCAAATCTTGAATCTATTTGCTAGCTTTTTGAAGCGTTGGGCAAATTACTAACCTCTTTGTATCTGTTTTCTCCTCAGTAGGTAATCTCAACTCTGGAGAATGTTTAGAAGATTAAATGAGTTCATGTATGAAAGCATAGTTCTCAGAAAAAGTGATAGGCAAAGAACACCAAAAGCTAGCTGACTTGTTTCATCTGACATCTCACAGTAGTTGTATTCAGATTAACTGCATAAAATACCAGATTTTGAAAGCTACACAAAATCCAAAATAGATGAGAAGAAAAGTAAACATTACACAGCCATCGCTACACCCATTACATAGTTATCAAATGCTTGATTATATGCCAAGGACTGTTCTAGGTGATTTGCAACTCAAATGTTACATAGAGAATTTCAGAACTGTCATCTACAGGAGAGGATTCTTTTTCTTTTTGAACAGTATTCCCAATTTAATTTTTGCTTTTAACGTCACATAAAGGCAATTTATGTCCGACACTTAAAATTATGCAGGCTATCGCGCCGAGCACCACGCGGATCGTCATTCAAATAAAATAACCACAGACGTGGCTAATTAACGGTGAAGGGAGGATCCCGCCGAGTAACAGGCAAACCGCAGGTCGCCTGCAGTATGTAAGGCGACAGCCTACTGGAACAGCAATCCCAGAGCAACTGACCACGTGATCCCGCGGGCGGCCGGGGCTCCCCGCCCCTCGGCGCTGAGCAGCCACGTTGGCAGCGTTGGGCGGTCAGGGGGGCGTGGCGAAGGCCCGTGCGTAGTACGTGCCCCGCCCCTTCCAGAGCCCGGATGAAGAGTAACGCCATTACCGCCAGAGCTGCCGAGAGCAGTCGCGGATGCGGACTGAACACTGGACCTGCGGCAGCACCATGAGACTCCTCCCCCGCCTGCTGGTGCTTCTCTTGCTCGTGTTCCCCGCCACCGTCTTGCTTCGAGGCGGCCCCTCAGGTGAGGCGAGGGGAGTGGGCGCCTGGGGTTGGCCGGCGAGAAGGGGCCTAAGATGGCAAGTTTGAAGTCGGAGGTGGCGGTGGCTCCTGGACACGGCGTCCGCCTGGCCGGCCTCCGCCTTCTTCTCGGCCCCGGCTCGTGGTGGTTAACCGCCTTGCGCACGGAGCGCGGGGCCGTGCGGGAACCCATGTCTGCAGGGCTGGCGGCAGCTGGGGCCGAGGGCGGCTGCAGCCCGCTGTGGTTCTCCGGCCGCCTCCAGCCCGCTCCGCCCCTCGCCCGCGCTGTGGGCTGACGTGTCTCTAGCCTCCACGCGGGGTCCACCTTCATTCATTCGCCCAGCTCTGCGGCGCCGAGCTCGGCTTCCAGCCGCCCGGTGCCCAGTCTGCGTGTCGGCCCCGGGCGGGCGAGCGGGCGGCCGCAGAAGCGCGGGAGACGCCGCGCTTCTGCCGCATCTGCTCCTTTATTTTTTTGTTAACCACTTCACAAAAAAAAAAAAAAATCACCATATTCAAGCTTTACGTTTTTTAATATAGGCTTATTCATGACAAAAAAAATGACTGTAAAAGTGAAGACTTGGCTCCTTGCCCTAGTATTATCATGAACTCGATTTTATAATTCATAAAGTGAAAATTAATCTTAAGTGATCCCTAGAATTCCTTTCACTCTAAGTGCATTAAGCAATCCGTGTGGCGTAATGAATGATAATGATCGGTGGCCGCGAGCTGTTTGGCAAAGAAAAGTGAAGTGACTGGCTTCCTTTAGTGGCTAGTATAACTTTAAATTACGCTGTCAGATTTTTTTTTAGCTGGGTTTCGAAAATAACTTGTAAGCTGTGGACGTACCTTGCTATCCATCAAGAACTCAGGGAGGTGAAAAAGACTTAAACTGAATGTCCTTAATCTATACCGTTTTTCCTGGGCGTTGCATATGTGTCTCTTCCCACGTATTTTCCTCTACTGAATTGCCACATCATCATTTTTTTCTGAGAAGTGCTGGAAAGGTTGGTGAGAAGTTTGAAATGCTTTTGAGGGTCTTGCCTGAAATAGATTTAATATGACTTATTTACACTACATTTGCCTGTAAAACTAATGATTGATAACTTGGCATTATGGTTATACTTTCATTTCAGAATAAAAATATCTTCAAATATGTGTGAAGTCATGTATAAATATAATTGGATTTGTTCTTGGCTATAAACCCTAATGTTATCGGTATATGTTACTAAACAGAATATGTTTCTTGCAGGCTAGTTTTTTACCATGCATATGATACATATGGAATTACATGTTATCAAATTCTGAGTTTCACCTGTACTCAACTCTAGTAGCAATCTTTCTTGCTTGGATGTTGAGAATACTGTTTTCTTTTAAATTAAGGGCATTGTGTTGTTGTTTTGTTTTATATGGTTATGGATGTATTAAACTTAGAAGTTTCCCATTTTTGCAACAAACTTCTTTGTTGTTGCTTTTTGAAGTGGAGTTTCACTATATAGCTCTGACTGTCCTTGAACTTGTTCCTTCTATCTCAGCCGAATGAGTGCTGAGATTATAGGTGAGATTTCAGGCATGCCACACATCATTCCAAGTTAGTTTTCTTAATTTGTATAACAAAATTGCTTGAAGTTCTTTAATTGGGCTTCAGGGCATTTTTAGTTCTACAGTTCATTTTCTTTCCTTACTGGGATTTGAACTAAGAGCTTCTTGTGCGCTGGGCAGGTGCTACTCTGCCAGCCCTTTTTTCTGTTGGGTTTTTTTGAGATACAGTCTCTTGAACTATTTACCAGGGCTGGCCTCGAACCACGATTCTCCTGATCTTTGCCTCCCAGGGAGCTGGATTATAGACATGAACCACCACACCTGGCTTGCAGTTCATTTTCCAGTGTGTGGTGCTATTAAAAATTAAACAGCCTTTTCCATTAAAATTAACATGTCGTAAAATGATACAAATATTCTTAGATGCTGTAATTTGGCATCATTCAAGTGATCTGGGAGATTGACTTAATCCAGGGGGAGCATTTTATTGCCTATAACCTGTATAAACATTGGGGTTGAGGTAGAAGTTAACTGCTTCTTTTGTATTTTATTGTTAGGGTCATTAGCACTGGCTCAAGATCTTACAGAGGATGAAGAAACAGTGGAAGATTCAATAATTGAAGATGAAGATGATGAAGCAGAGGTAGAAGAAGATGAACCCACAGATTTGGTTAGTGTTATATATTGTTCAGTGCATCTAGAATTTAGGTAATACATTAAGAATTTACTCATTTCTTTTTTGTCTTTTCAGAAGAGGTCGCTTTATAGTCTATGCTGGCAGGGTGGTCTCAGTTTGAGATCCTCCTGTCTCAGCCTCCAAAGTACTAGGATTACAGGTGTGCACTACCAAACTCAGCAAGAATTTACTCTTTTTGTAGACAGTTTGATATTAAAATTCTTTCTTTAAGAGGTTTTTTAATCGTGATCGAAATAGATTGAAGTTGGGAGAATGGCAGCTAGTTATTGGGGATGGAGCATGATTTTTCTGGAGTAGGGAAAGAGACATAATAAACTGAAAGAACAGTTCAAGATCATATGGATATTCGTGTAGGAGGATAACAGTGTAGTAGACTCAGAGTTGATAGATTTTGGGATTCATAATGCTTTGCTTTCTGGCTTCTTTCTTGGTCTCAGCTTCCTCTTCTGGGCTCTTGCTTTCGTTTATAAACAGTCATTGAATCTCATTCATTGTGCCTCAACTATGTGCCAGTCAGTCACTGTTGTAGGTACTGGGATGAACAGATAAGACATTTGCTGTCTTGTAGTTCATGTTCTCAGAGGCAGTGTGTATGTGTTTTGGTGGTGGAGGAGAGGAACAGATGATAAATAATATGTGAAACATGTCATTTGAAAAGTACAGGGTTAGAAAGTTAGAACAACTTCCAACTAGATCATTACGTTCCTACTTCCTTGTTAATGGTAGATATTTAAATGTTCTAAAAGTAAAGGTGCCACTTGTGGTAAGATAGCTTAGAGTAACTATTAGTAGAGAATTTAGGATTAAAAATGATATTTAGAAACTAGAGAAAAGGTTAGTTCGAGAAGAATTAACTTAGAAGGTAACACATATGTACAGGAAAGCAATGTGAGTCAACTCCCTGTATAGCTATCCTTATCTCAACCAGCAAAAACCCTTGTTCCTTCCCATTATGGCTTATACTCTCTCTTCAACAAAATTAGAGATAAGGACAAAATAGTTTCTACCTGGTAGCGAGGGGTTAGAGTGGGTAAGGGGAGGGTGCGGAGCAGGGGGGAGAAGTGACCCAAACATTGTATGCACATATGAATTTAAAAAAATGAGATTTAGAGCTTTGAAATTTGGGCATGTACACAAATTCGTAATGAATTATACTGTTAAAATCATTTTTCTGAAGTCACTTGGGCTCTCTGGAATGAACTTACTGTGTCAGGAAGAGGGGAAAAGAGGGGAAGTTTAAATCTTCGGTATTCTTAAGATGTTGGCCAGGACTTTTCCATACCTTGAGGACCATTAGAGGAAAAAGAGAAGCTGATTGTTCACATCTCAACCCAGCCAATTAGTTCAAAAGTATTAGAACCCTCTGGTTTGTTATTTTCTCAAATCAGAAACAGGAAGCAGGGACAGTGTTTTCTTTTGTGTGTAAGCTATTCTAAGCCATCCTCCCCCAACCCCCTTTCTGTATTTTCTCTAACAATGAATCTTCCTTATTCTCTTCTAAGACTAGCTCTTACCTTGACTTTTGTCCCCATCTCAACCTGTGGGGTCTTACTAGATTATTCTTTACTTTTATAAATTTAGGCATCATTCCTTCTCATTGCATATGCACATGCTTATATACTGTTTGTCCACCTGAAGCTCCTACCTACTTTCTTCACTGGCATGTTACTTTTTTAAAGAGTAACCTGTAGTTTTTCTCCTCTACTCACTTCACATTCGTTCTCTATCATGGTCGTGCCTTTTTTAGCACTTGTTGATAACATCTTAAACCCCTTCATGTTGACAGAATTCTGAGACACCCCTCTCGGTATTCCTGCCTAACTGCTGCTGCTTGGATTCCTTCTCTACTACCTTCTCTTCCTTGGCTCTCCCCCTTAATGTTGATAAACTACTACCCTATATTGATGACTTCTATCTTATTTCTAGCCATTTGCCTTACTGAGGTTTATACCTATATTTCTGCCTCTTCACAAGATAGCACCATCTGAGTGCTTCGAAAGTACCTCACATTTTATATGTCCATGATAGAATTCAGTACTTGCCATCCATCCTGCCTCCGTAAATAATTTGCTTTTTGGAATGGCTCCAGTAATTTGAGCTGTTGCCTTTTTTTTTTGTCTTTCATTTCTTTTTATTCTTAGGTATAGTTTCTCTCAAGTATACCCTTTCCACTTATTCCTATAGCATATGTTTCCAACCCTCTTCCTACTTCAGGGTCTTTATTTTTTTAGAGACAAACTCTCACTAAATTGCCTATGCTTGCCTCAAACTCCTGGGCTCAAGTGATCCTCCTGCCTCAGCCTCCTGAGTAGCTGAGACTATAGGCATTCCCTACCTTGGCCAGTAATCATATTTGGTCATATTCATCCTCCTCCTCTTTCTTCTCTCTCCCCCTGATCACTCTCACTCACTCTTACTACCTTTCTCCTTCTCTTGCTCTCTGGTTTCCACCATTCCACATTATGTTTGATATGCACTGAGAAATTGTCTTGTTAATTAGAATGGAAATCTTTATAGACTGATAACAGAGTGCTTAAGAACAGGGGTGGGCAGACTGGCTGCAGACCCATTCAAGCCACACCTGTTTATTATTGTCTGTGGCTGCTTTCATGCACAGCCACAGAGTTAAGGAGTTGCAAGAGGGACCTTATGGTTTGCAAAGACACATTTACTGTTTAACTCTTATAGGAAGTAAGTTTACCAACCTCTGAACCTCAGCATTTCCTGGATGCTTGTTAGAAATAAAGAATTTTGTACCTTAGACCCAAACCAGATCTGCCAGATCCTCAATGGATTTTGGTATGCACATTCAGATGCACTGTTCTAGAAGTTTTATTTAACTGATGAGATACAGTGAAATTCATACCCCTAATACAAGTAATGAAGAAGCAATATTTTGTTCCAAATTTAGTGAAGTCTATATGTAAATGGTTTTGGGATTTTCTCCCCCAGTAATACCTTCTTAATTTTTTTTTTTTTTAGGCAGAAGATAAAGAAGAAGATGATGTATCTGGTGAACCTGAAGCTTCACCCAGTGCAGATACTACTATCTGTTTGTGAAAGGAGAAGGTAATATAGAATTACTAGTTTTAATTCAAATATAGGAATTTTTAGACATCAAGCTTGCTTTTGGAGGGAAGAATTGGTAATAATTACAGATCCTTATACTCCTCTTTTTACATAACAAGTATTATACAAACAAGTATTTTGAAAATAATCTGATAATGTGAATATTGTATTTATAGTATTGCTGGCATTTAGACTAAAGAGAAAAATAAGTGCTAACTGGTTTAATCAGAAATTAAATGTCCTTTTAAAGATACTGGTTTTACACTTCTATCAAGAGTGCCTCAGCAAAGAAATTGTGTGTGTATGTATGTATGTAGTGAGAGAGAGAGAGAGAGTGTGTGTGTGTGTGTGTGTGTGTGTGTGTGAGTTGAGAAAGTTATTTTTGTTTGCTTGTTTTTTGTATTTTTTGGTTTTGTTTTTTGTTCTGTGGGATTTTTTTTTTTTTTTTTCTTCTGGTACTGGGGCTTGACCTCATGGCCTACACCTTGAGCCACTCCACCAGCTCTTTTTTGTGATGAGTGTTTTCAAGATAGTGAGCTACTACCCTTGCCTGGCTAAATAGTGTCACTCAGACTGTGCCTGTCCTTTTTTTTTTTTTTTTTTTGTGGTACTTGGGTGTGAACTCCCTGTACTTGCAAGGCAGGTGCTCTACCACTTGAGCCACTCTACCAGTCCTATTTGGTTTTTGAGATAGAGTCTTGCTACATAGCCCAGCCTGGCCTCAAATTTGCTATGTAACTTAAGCTGGCCCTGAACTCATGATCCTCCTGTCTCAGCCTTCTGAGTATTGGGATTAAGGCATGTGCCACTGTGCTGAGCTGAATTATGTTATATTTTTGAGTGTTTAAATATTAGTGAAATATTAAATCTTTCCAATTAGATGTTGGTTACAGTTTAGGTGGCATTGGAAGAAAATTTAGATTCAGATTTCTTATTTAAAAGAAAGGTAGGACCAGAAGTGTTGTGAATTTTGAATATTTTTGGATTTTGGAATATTTGCATATACTTTTTTTTATTTTAAATTTTTATTTTATTCATATGTGTGTACATTATTTGGGTCATTTCTCCCCCCTTCTCCCCGCCCCCTCCCCTACCTCTCGCTACCAGGCAGAAATTTTTTTGCCCTTATCTCTAATTTTGTTGAAGAGAGAGTATAAGCAATAATAGGAAGGACCAAGGGTTTTTGCTAGAATAGCTATACAGGGAGTTGACATACATTGATTTCCTGTACATGTGTGTTACCTTCTAAGTTAATTCTTCTTGAACTAACCTTTTCTCTAGTTCCTGGTCCCCTTCTCCTGTTGGCCTCAGTTGCTTTAAAGTATTTGCTTTAGTTTCTCTGTGTTGAGGGCAACAAATGCTATCTAGGTTTTTGGATGTCTTACCTATCCTCATACCTTCCTTGTGTGTTCTTGCTTTATCATGTGATCAAAGTCCAATCCCATTGTTGTGTTTGCCCTTGATCTGATGTCCGCATATGAGGGAGAACATACAATTTTTGGTCTTTTGGGCCAGGCTAACCTTACTCAGAATGATGTTCTCCAATTCCATCCATGTACCTGTGAATGATAACATTTCATTCTTCTTCATGGCTGCATAAAATTCTATTGTGTATAAATACCACATTTTCTTAATCCATTTGTCAGTAGTGGGGCATCTTGGCTGTTTCCATAACTTGGCTATTGTGAATAGTGCTGCAATAAACATGGGTGTGCAGGTGCCTCTGGAGTAACCTGTGTCACAGTCTTTTGGGTATATCCCCAAGAGTGGGATTGCTGGATCAAATGGTAGATCAATGTTTAGATTTTTAAGAAGCCTCCAAATTTTTTTCCTGACTGGTTGTGCTAGTTTACATTCCCACCAGCAGTGTAAGAGGGTTCGTTCCCCCCACCCCGCAACCTCGCCAACACGTGTTGTTAGTGGTGTTGCTAATGATGGCTACCTAACAGGGGTGAGGTGGAATCTTAGTGTGGTTTTAATTTGCATTTCCTTTATTGCTAGGGATGGTGAGCATTTTTTCATGTGTTTTTTGGCCATTTGAATTTCTTCTTTGAGAAAGTTCTGTTTAGTTCACTTGCCCATTTCTTTATTGGTTCATTAGTTTTGGGAGAATTTAGTTTTTTGAGTTCGCTATATATTCTGGTTATCAATCCTCTGTCTGATGTGTAGCTGGCAAATATTTTCTCCAACTCTGTGGATGGTCTCTTCAGTTTAGAGACCATTTCTTTTGATGAACAGAAGCTTTTTAGTTTTATGAAGTCCCATTTATCTATGCTCTCTCTTAGTTGCTGAGCTAATATTTGCATATACTTAATGAGCTATCTTAGAAATGGTACCCAAGTCCAAACATGAAATTATTTATGTTTCACATAGCACTGTATCCACATAGCCTGAAGGTAATTTTATGCAAAATTTTCAGTGGGCCTACGTTTTGATTGCAGCCCATCACTTGAGGCCAGATGTGGAATTTTCCACTTGCAGTATCATGTCAGCACTCAGAAAGCTTCAAATTTTGGAGCACTTGCAATTTTTGGGTTATGGATGTTCAGCCTATAAATCTAAGACTGATATTTATTGAGGATTCTGTACTAAGTGCTGTTCTCAATACTTTGCATGTGCTGTTTAATCCTGTGGAGTGTAGTTAGTGATGAATTGAGGGTTAGAGAATTTAAGAAACTTGTCCAGTCTTACCCAGTTCATAAATAGATTGTGGAGATAGGATTCAAACCCAGATTTGTCCAGCCCCACAGGATATGCTGTACTGTGCTCAAGTAGACTACAGTACAGTTATTGAAGATTTAATATTGGAGATTATTTTCTTGGTATTCTCAGGTTTTTTTGTTTTACCCCCACGTATTCTGCCTTTATGCCTGCAAATCAGATAATTACTCAAAAATTTGAGTAGGTGTTTTTTTCCATTTTTTTTTTAGCTGTCTTAAAATTTTTACTTTGACTAAGTGTTTTATTGAATAGGGATTGCCGTGTGTGTGTGTGTGTGTGTGTGTGTGTGTGTGTGTGTAGTGTAGTGTAGTGTAGTGTAGTGTAGTGTAGTGTAGTGTAGTGTAGTGTAGTGTAGTGCTGGAGACCAATTCAGGGCCTTGCACATGCTAGGCAAGCACTTTACCCCTGAGCTATACCCCCAGCCCTTGCCTAATTCATTTTTTACAGTATAATCAGTTTTCAGGCAGACCTCTTAGATTTTTTTTTTTCCTGTCAATCTTCTCTCCATTTATCTGCATAGATAACATTCTTAGTTTTGTAAATCCCTCCCTGATAATCTTGCTGCCAAAGTACACAACTCTTTCTTAGGTCGCATAACTTGGAAGTAATGTGGTCTGAAATTGAGAGGCTCAGTTCATCCTAGTTGAAATGCTAGAGTACAGACAAAAGAGTTTGAGCTCATACCCCAGCTCCAACCAGTTACTAGTTAGTCTGTGACCAGAGTGCTCTGTTAAAATGATTCTGAAACCAAGTCCACATGCAACAGGAAAGTGCCAAAATCTGTTAGCAGTCTACATTTCACTTTCTACTCCACAAATATGTTCTGATTTTCTCGTCTCTATTTTGTTTCTCAGATTTTCCAGCAAATAACATTGTGAAGTTCCTGGTAGGCTTTACGAACAAGGGTACAGAAGATTTTATTGTTGAATCCCTAGATGCTTCATTCCGTTATCCTCAGGACTACCAGTTTTACATCCAGAATTTCACAGCTCTTCCTCTGAACACTATAGTGCCACCCCAGAGACAGGCAACTTTTGAATATTCATTCATTCCTGCAGAGCCCATGGGTGGACGACCCTTTGGTCTGGTCATCAATTTGAACTACAAAGATTTCAACGTAAGGCCTTCTAAGCTTTTTGAGTTTTATTTTGTTCTGTTTATGTTAGAGATGACTGAGGACAAGTGACATTGTTTAATAAAAGTTTCTATTTAAGTGCCTGTGATAGGCATCAGAGAAACAAAGATAAATTGCACACCTCTGTCTTTGTGTCTATAATCTAGGGGGAAGATGGTTAAAAACAGGCAATAAAACTAATAAGTGGTACACATACTAGAGCTCTGTATAATTAGGTACTGTTGCGTGAGTATGAAAGTGACTGGAGTTGGATGTTAAACAGAGCAGTAGCCTCTTATATGGTGCTATCAAGCAATTTGCTGTGTAACTCCTTTTGTTGCTTGCCTTTTGCCCATTTTATTGCTTCTAGAGACTTTCTGAAACTTCTCCCATTATTTTATATATACTCATGTAAAATCCAGCTTTTTAAGGATAGTTTTAGCAACAAGGTTTATATCTTAGTTTTAATATATGAGAACCAGATGTCCTGATAGAACCTTTGATGTCCACTAAGATTGGTAGATTCTCATTCTTTAGGTGAGGGCACATTTAAAACCTCTTTTCAGAACTTTTCTCTTGGAAGCTTATTCAAGCTTTTTATCACCCTAGTGTTAACATGTTTACGTATGCCACGTTAAATTTCTTGTGCTGCAATTAAGTTTTCCCTTCTTTTTTTTTAAATTTCTTACTAGAGAGGAGGAAAGGCTTTTCATTCTTCTTATCTTCAAAATAATAGAGTTAAATAGCTAAAGAATTGTCTGTTTTGTTTTGAAGTAGAATTCACTTTAATCCAGTTTAGTGTATATGTAGTTTCAGTTCCATTTTGAGTGTTATTTTCATCAGTATATTCTGATTCCTGGTATTATCAGCAGAGGAATGCATATTGAAGGACTTTGAAGTACAACTTACATAAGTGGCAGGCAGCTTTGAAAAAGTAATGCCTTTGTGTAAAGGACCAAACATTGAGAACAGCTATCTGTGTATGCTCCAGTAATACTGATGTCTTTGGAAACTGAAGTTTTGTTGAACTGACAAAAGTGTTTCAAGACTTAACAGCACAATATTTTGGTGCTGAAAATCATCAAACCATAAGAAATTGGTTTCCAGCCCATTTTCAGTTTAGAATATGAATTTTACTTCTGTTCAGGTCTCCTCCTTAAAATAATCTGCTACTGTAGCTGTTATTGTACATTTCAGTCTCCTTCGTTTTGGAGAATTGCAAACAAGCTGTAACTGCTAGTATTGGAATTCTCTGTAAGCTTTTTTTTCTGCAAGCTTTATCTTGTTTTTATCTGTTTTCCTGGTTCCTCAGATCACCTTCTCCCTGCTCCCCAAAGTAAGTGAAGGACAACTTTGGCAAGGTTGGAGACATTTTTTATTTTATAGGAGAAATTAACACCATGATGTTGAGCATCTTAGTCATTCAGTAGTTAAGTGCAGTTATATATGCATTTGTTGAAGCCTGTAACCTAAGTAGAAAGCTATATTAAGTCTCTAAGAGTAACAGTTTTATTTTGTAATTTCCAAAATTTGTTTTTTAAACAGGGCAATGTATTCCAGGATGCTGTCTTCAATCAAACAGTTACGGTTATTGAAAGAGAGGATGGGTTAGATGGAGAAACGTAAGTGAAAGTTGCATTCAATAGATCTTGATCCTATAAGGTAGGACTGGAAGGTGTGTTCCAATTTCAAAATGTTTTTTAAGGTAGACAAAGTGAAATGAGCTATATAGATGTGGTTAAATCATTAACCATATAGGTACATACTTTAAAAATGCATTGTTTTTGAATAGTAAGTCATCCTACTGTGAACTTAATGTAATTCTCTTAGTCAGTTTTTAAAATCAGTAGCACAAAATAATTAAAATTTGAGGCAGAGAAAAATGCAGTAGTTTTAAACTAATGGTGAGCATTGAGTTCATATAAATTTTTAAGTTCTATTCATTTTAGATGATAGGATTGCTTTTTTAATTGACAAATTGCTCTTAAATACATAATAGAAGTTTATAAAACTTATTGACTAGATCTAAGTTGAATTAAAAATATTTTATTCCTTTTCTCTATAGCTTATTTGAACAGCTATATCATGTGTTAGAATTATAGTTTTATAATTAGCTGTATTTTCTCCTTTTATGCCAGAATCTTTATGTATATGTTCCTTGCTGGTCTTGGACTTCTGGTTGTTGTTGGCCTTCATCAACTTCTAGAATCTAGAAAGGTAATTATGGATGAACAACTCTTACATCCATACTTAGTACTAAATAGAACATAGTTCTTTATTATTTACTACTCTCACTATAGGTTTGTATATTTACAGCTTTTTTGTAACTTTTTAAAAGAACACGCAAAGGAAGAGATGTGATTTGAATTCATGTACACATCTAGTTAGTGTCCTTTTCCTGTACTTTCCAGAGTGATCCTTACCATCTTATTATATCTAAAATTTTGCTAGATTTTTATTCTTCAGACTTAGGAAGATTTCTTTGTTCCACTTATTATACTTTTTCATGGATATTTTATTTTAATATGTAAGCAGCCCTGCTTTTATATTTGCTTTGGTACTCTTAACTATTGGGATAATTCTTAACTAGTGAATGAGTCCTTTGACTTTAAAAACAATTTGGCTGGATTTGTCCTGTTGGTCAGACTTCTGCTTTTGTGATAGGGTCATCAAAGCCTGGCATGGTCCTCACTCTTCAGATAGCTGATTTCTTCACCATTTCCATATTTTTCCTCCTCTTCTCTCTCTTTCCCTCCTTCATTCTCCTGTTTGTTTTACCCCACTCAACAAAAAGAAATACCCATACTGCTCCTCTCAGTAGGAAAGCATGACACAATTTATGTCAGATACAGTAATGTAATTCTTTAGGCCCTCAACAGTTGCTAGACTTTTTGGTGAGTGTTTATCTTTGTCTTATTTTCCTAAGTTGAGATTTTTTTCTATAAATTTACATATTAGGTATAATTGCATCTCCAGTTTGTTTTTTCATTTAAATAAAGCCATTTTTCTGTTATTCTTTCTATTCAGAGTCTAATTTACGGACTGTAAAGATTATATTGTTTACATTGATAATTAGGTTTTGTTTTCTAGATTTCACAGCAAGGCTAAAGAAAATGCAATTGGTTGGGCACTGGTGGCTCACACCTGTAATCCTAGTTATTTAGGAGGTAGAGATCAGGAGGATCGTAGCTTGAAGCTAGCCAGGGCAAATAGTTTGCGAGACCCTATCTTGAAAAACCCTATTGCAAAAAATTGGGCTCGTTGGAGTGGCTCAAGGTGAAGGCTCTGAGTTCAAGCCCCAGTACTACAAAAAAAAAGAAAGAAAATGAAATTAATCACTTTTATGTTCTAGTAGCTTTTGCTGCAAATACCCTAGAGAGAAAGTTTTAGGTTCTCAAATTCAATCAATATTAGCTTAAATGAGATTGTATGTTTTTGTTGTTTTTTTATCTGTGGCAGTTGTTTAATTATATTTAGCTTACAGTGCCTGACTGCCTGCATGCAACATTTCGGTAATTGTCTTGAATTTTATTGACTGGAAATGTATTCTTTGATTATGATGTGAGTCTCAAAAGAAAAGAAAATCATTGTATAAATAGACATCCTTATTTAGTTCATTGATGGTATAGTAACAAATCAAGCTTTATAGCAAGGATATATAGCTTAAAATAAGTATAAGGATATAAAGCCTAAAAGTAAATAGTCATGAAGATTTATAATGTAGTTTTTATGGTTACTGCTAGGCATGATTTTTATACTTTAGTGAAGAACATATTTGAGTTAAGAGTGTTTTAAAACTAGAAAAGGACATAATTTGTCTACTAAGATACTCAGTTTACTTTTCTTGAGTAGTGTTTTTAAAATCAGAATAAATAATACTGTGCTACTCTTTTAAAATATCTTTTTGTTCTCTTAGCGCAAGAGGCCCATACAGAAAGTAGAAATGGGTACATCAAGTCAAAATGATGTTGACATGAGTTGGATTCCTCAGGAAACATTGAATCAGATCAGTAAGTAATCTTACAGAGTTGGTGGACAGTGTTTCTCTTAAGTAGGAATTAAAATATTTTAGATTTGGCAAAAAATGCTTGGTCAGTGCTAGTTAACATTCATCTTTTCCGGCTGGGTGGCAGTGGCTCACGCCTGTGATCCTAGCTACTCTGGAGGATCATGGTTTGAAACCTGCCAGGCAAATAGTTTGTGAGGCCCTGTCTTGAAAAACCCTTCACAAAGATATGGCTGGTGGAATGGCTTAAGGTGACAATACCGCAAAAGAAAAGAAAATCATCTTTTCCATTATCTGTGTAGAATCTAGATATAATGAGTAATAAAGATTTATCCTATAGTATTTTCTTAGGCCTTAATTTAGAAATGCTTCCAAATGTATAGTTTATTTACAAATGTGTGAGTTCTCTATATTCCTAATCCTTTTCCTGTCTCTTTTCTTTCCTGTTGCTTCAGTGCAGAGTAGAAGAGGTGAGGTGATTAATGTTGTTAATAGTGCTTGCTAGAGTTTGGGGGGGCTATTGTATAGCACATTAATACTTCCCAACAAATTGTAATGAGTAATAGAACAGTTTTCTAGTACTGTGTTTTATTGGAAAGCTACTAATTACTACTTTTTTTGAAGGCATAAATCTAGAATATTTCCTAATAGTTTACCTAACATGTATTTCTGTTTTTTTTTACATAGGCAGTTTGTTTAAAATGTTAACTTTTATGAAGGAGTATAGACTTTTCCCCAACTGTTGAAGAACTTTAAAAAATACTGTAAAAGCAATCTAACTTGTAAAAGTTAAATTGTACAGAAGTGAAAAACTAAAGTCACCCTCTGGTTTCCTCATCCCATTTTCCATAAACAGTTGGTGCTTATGTATCCCAAGTATTTTCTATACATGTTTCTTTGAGTGTTTAGCACAGATGGCATCATGCCTGGCACATCTCTCCAAGCTGGTTCATTTATATACATATAACTTTTTAAACAACTTTATATAAATGTGTCATAGTAGATTGAAGAAGGATATTTTAAGTTATTTCCAGGTTTTCACTCTTAGAAATAATGCTGTAATGAAGAATGAGGGCTGAAGGTGCAGCTCAAGTGGTAGAGCACTGTGAGGTTTTAAATTCAAATCCCAGTACTGCCAAAAAGAAAAGAAATAATGCTGAAATGAATATTCTCATATTTAACTTTATAGGGTAACTTCTTAAAAGTAGAATAGCTAGGTCTAACATTCTGAACAGTGTGTTCTCTTCCATTGTCACTAATCATTCTCAAGTGTTGAGGACAGCTGGTGGAGTGGTTCAGACAGTAGAGTGCTTGCCTAGCAAGTGTGAGGCCCTGAGCTCAAACTCCAGTGCTGCCAAAAAAAAAAAAAAGTATGTATATATAGATAGATAGATAGATGAAGTATTATCAAATGTTTTAATCTATGGTTAGAATACTAAATGATGTCTCTTCTTTTTTTTTTTTTTCCCCCCTCTATAGAGTTTATACTCAGGGCTTAGCACTTGCTAGTACTCGCTAGTCTGATACTCCACCACTTGTGCCATACCTCCAGCCCCCAAATGGTATTTTAATATTCTTTGTTTACCTTTTTTTTTAAGAATGAGGTTTAGGGCTGGTGGAGTGGTTCAAGTGGTAAGAGCATTTGCTTAGCAAGCATGAGGCACTAAGTTCAAATCCTAATTCTGCCCAAAAAAATGAGGTTTAGTTTCTTTGCATATATATTTAATTGAATTGTTTTTTTTGTTTTGTTTTTTGTTTTTTTGTTTTTTTTTTCACTGCTTTCTTTGAGCTAGTTCTCTCTACTTGAAACATAAGTACCATGTTTCAGGTACAAAATCATGAGAGCAGGCAGGCCTTTTCCCCCTGGAGAATAGGTCTTTAATGGGAGCAGTTGGCCTTTGGCTGGAGACTTGAGCAGCTGGATGAGGAGGACTCTTCAAGGTTTTATGGGCTGTGTTAGGAACTTTTGACTTATCTTTTGGTAGAAGAGAGCCATCAGATACTTTCAAGCAGAGGAATAACAATTTTATGTTTGAAAAAGAAAACACAATAGCCTGTGGAGGACAACTTGCAAGCAGGCGCTACTGGACACAGAGATGCCATTTAGATGATTTCAGAAAAGTACAGGAGAAATCATTAGGGCCTAAGCTGCCTAATAAGCATGAGTCCTTGAGTTCAAACTCTAGTACAAAAAAAAAAGAGGTACTTTTTGGATTTCTTTTGATAAAACTTCACAGAGCAGTGCTAAGACAGCATTGAGGAAGAAAAAAAAAAACAGCGTTGAGCTAATCTATCAACTTAAGGTAATAAAATATTCAAGAAACTTCAGATACATTAGTCATTGTCCTTTACATTCTTATTTAGAGGCATGCTAATTGTTTTGGGAATGTTGAAGATGGCTGGAAAATGTGCAGCACACTTAGGCAAACATGCTCCCTCTCATTACTGTTAGCAAACCTTGAAATCAAAGGAGTCCTCATTCTGTTAGAGCATTTCAGAAGAGTTGGGCTAATGGTTAAGGAAAAAGAGGGTGTGCAGTTGACACACACATGATTAATTGCACTTTTATAGACTTTTCTATAGAAATGTCATCTTTAAACTTATTTTTTAATGATGAGATGCTTTAAATTACCATGTGACACCCTGCATTCCAAAATACAAAGAAATAACATTTTTCTGTCTGATCGAAATACCATCACATTTAAGGAATTACTATTTTATTATATAATACAACTTTATTGATTCATTTATTTCAAAAGTATCTTTTATAATTGTTTTTTTCCAATTCAGGAAGATGAATTGCATTCAATTGTTAAATCTGTTAATTTCTTAATTTACAACAACAGTTCAAGCAATGGGCCACTTGTCCATAGAAAAGTGCTTCTCAGACTTTAATGTGTGGGGTCACTGGGAAGTCTGGTTTAGAGACATGTTTGGATCTGGTAGCTCTGGAGTGGGGTCTCAGCTCCAGTGTGTCTGACAAACCTACACTGAGTAAAAAGACTAAAAAGCCCTGCCTTCCAGAGTTCTCATTGTTGTCTCTTGGCGACTATTACCTAAAATTTGTTAAAACGGGAATTAAATCTGTAGGTGTGATTAGTTAACCTGATCACTTTGAGCTGATAGCATACATCATGGCTGATAAGCACTTCCTCCTGCGTTTCACAAGAAGCATGCTGTCTGATGACCCTGTCCTTAGCAATGCTAAAGTGAGCATTAGATGAGGGTGGTAGCCTCCTGATCTTTCCTTATAACCAGGAATCCTTGCATGAATATCAGAAGGTAGAATTGAGGATACACAGTTGTAATTTCTTCTCTTTTTACTAACAGTTACTTTGTAAAGAAGCACTTTCATCATCTGAGAGTCACATACTTTTTGTGTGTGTGTGTGTGTGTGTGTTTACTCACTTTTGAACTATGGGCCTCTTGCTTGGTAGGCCTGTCACTCTATTACTTGAGCTAAGCCCCTAACCCTTCAACTGAAATTCTTGGGTCACCTGAATAATAGCAGGAAATGCAGGATGGAATGCCCAATTCCTTACCAGTATTCAAATTAAGGAGTTAGTTTTAAAACCAGCCAAATGGTGAAAAATGAATTATTTCTCATTTACTTCTACCGTTTTTGATTATTGTATATAAACTTGGCTTTTTTGTGGAATAAATGTGTTTCAGACAACCATATTCTTAGGCTTAAATTGTGACAGTTTTGGTCATTAGGATCCCTTTTGAACTGCTTCTCATCTTAACCTTATGATCTTTGAGTGATTGCTTACGGTTGGCTTCCCAAGATATCCAAACTTTGTACTTTTTCCACTCCGGACATTGAACTAGCTATGTTTCTAAAGACCTCTGAATGATACTAAAAACTAAAACCTAACTTTAGCCTAGTATTAGGGCTCATTGTTTAGAGTTTGGAAAAGGAGAGTCTGGTTTAAGTTTCTGCTAACATTTTGCCCTTTTCTAAAAATGAGAAAAGTTGTCATACATTACAGTTTTACTATAATTAGGTAGGTTTTTATTTACAATGTCTTTTAAATGGGCAGTGTAGGCATTTTCACGTTTGCCCATTGTCATTGGAGAATAAGGTGGGTTTTCTCACGTGATTTTTTTTTCATATAGTTTAAATAAGGTTCACTCTTGAGTGCAAACATTAAATAATTTGGAATTTAAAAACATTTTTGTTTGCAGGATGCTGGTGGCTTGTGCCTGTAATCCTAACAAATTTGGGGGACTGAGATTGGAGGATCAGATTGCGGTTCCAGGCCAAAAAAAAAAACTTTTCAACACCCCATCTCAGTGGAAGAAAGCTGGGTGTAGTGGCATGGGCCTGCCATTCCAGTGACAACAGGAAGCTTAAAGTAGGATATGGTCCAGGCCAGTCGTAAGCAAAAAGTGAGACCCTATTTCCAAAACAACCAAAGTATTAAAGATTTGGCTCAAACAGTAGAGTGCCTGCCTTACAAATGTGGAAGCCCTGAGTTCAAACCCCAGTACTGCAAATTACAAACAAACAAAACATACAGTTTTTTTTCTTGCCAACTCACACCTATAATTCTAGCTACTTTAGAGGTGAGATAGATCACTGTTCGAGACCAGCTCAGGCAAAAAGTAAGACACTATCTCAAAGAATAGTCCCTGGGTGGTACACTCCTGTGATCCCAACTCTGAGGGAGGCATAGTTGGGAGGAGCTAGGACTGACACCAGCCTTGGGCGAGACCCTATCTGAAAAATAACTGAAGCTAAAAAGGGGGCTGAAGGTGTGGCTTAAGTGTTAGAGGCCCTGAGTTCAAACTCGCCAGCATTTTACTTTGTTAGGGATTTTTGAGGAATGGGGGAGTGGTAAATAGATTATTTTTTCAATGGCTGAAAAACATCATGATACACATGATGTTTAAATAAAAAGCTTTTTTCTGTACTAGTACGGAACCATTTTCCCAAAAGCTGAGTGACTCCAAAATGCTGTCTTATTCTGCTTCTTAACTTTGGAATGTTAGCTCCTAAACAGGTGATCTAGGGTTTTAGACTCACTGTGAAGATAAGCCAAATTGGCTACCTTTCTGGTAGAGTTTATTTTTTTATGTTATTTTTTATTATACACATTTTTTTTATTAGGATATATTCGTTATACAGGCTGGGGGATTCATAGTGACAATTCATTTGGGTTTATATTGTACGTTGGTTAGATCACCCCCTTTGATGGTGTTTAATTTATGCGTTGAAACAAAGTATGGAGCCCTGAGTTCAAACCTCTTACTACCAACAAACAAAAATACATGTGTGTGTGTTTATACACACATATATATACATATACATAAAGCCAATCTTCCTGATATGTAAGGTGCTCCCAGAGAATAAGAGGAAGGTCAGAGAGAAGGCAATGCCCAGCTCTTCAATCTTTATGATATGTTACTCTTACTGAATGGAATTTGAGGTAACTCAACACATCTGCTTTCTGTTAAATAAACCCTACTAAGAATGTAACCTAGGATATAAGGGAGAGATGTAAAAGGACAATGCTTATGGCATTGAAATACTAATTTCCTTTAACTGATTGCTTATTCCAATTAAATTTATGAAAGTGCCAAAAATCATACAAACCATTACTATATTTATAAATGTAGTCTTGTCTTATATTAATGACCAACATACAGTGCTTTAAAGTGGCAAATGTCATGTTTTTTAAAGTGTTTACTTATGCATGTATAACAGGTTAAACTGTAAAATTCAAGATTTTGCACGGTGTCTGCAGCAGTACAGTAACCAAGATCAGATCCTTTTCTTACAGTAGTTGCAAAAAAATCTCATTTTAGTTGGATATTTTAAAGGTAATTTTAAAATAGCTAGTAAGAGGCATTTATCCTTAGATACTGTTCTTGCGCTCGCACATGTGTGTGTGTTGATCTTGATGATAAAGTAGAAGGAAAATACTTGTGTGTTTTGCATCCGATATAATAAGCAAGCAAGCTTAAAGTACTCTTTTCTCTTCCAGATAAAGCTTCACCAAGAAGGCTGCCCAGGAAGCGGGCACAGAAGAGATCAGTGGGATCTGATGAGTAAATGTTCATTTGTGCAACAATTCAGTCTGTACTTACCCTGCCCTAATGTTTTTCGGCCTGATGGGAATTAGCGCAGAGAAGTCCTGTCACCATAGAAGGCAACTACTACTTATGTGTGGACTGAGCAATCAGAGTCTGTGGCAATAATATTGCTGAAAATGCACTGCACTCGTTTTTCTAAAGTAACAAATTTGGTTTTTTTTAAGCCATTAAAATCTGTGTGTGCGTGTGTATGTGAGCAGTTGGTCTGACCAGAATCATTGTTGAACTACCTGAAATTTTGCCTTTAGAATACTAAATATAATGCTACTGTCTCTTTTGACATTTTCTGATTTTTTTACCCCCAAACTCGAGGAATATTTGCCCCCATTATGATGATAGATGTCTTCCCTTGAATTGTTTTAAGGGAATACTTTCCTGTCTTCCTTGGAATTGTTCAGATCCAAACTGATGGCACAGATTAGCATTTTGTTATTGCTCTGGTATTCTAAAGGCACAAGCAGGAGGAGCTGCTTTTTTAGCAATAGAGTTTGTTTTGGTATTTTGCTGCAGTTTACTATAATGCACACCTTGAGAATTCTCAACTTACCAAATGGATTCAAGGAATTTTGAGATTTCTAGCAACAAAATTGTGAAATACAAAAATTCTGGTGACTTTGGTACATAAATTTTAACCCTACTTTTTTTTTTTTTTTTTAAACAAAAAGAAAATCGTACATTTGTACAAACTGAGTTGTGTTGTCCATCATCATTCTATTTCTGACCCAGGTCGCGCTCTAGAATGGTTACATCTATGCTGTTTTGTTTTTTAAAGAGAGAATTTTGTTCTCATTAATGAAAGTATCCTTTCTTAAGAAAAGTTGCCTTTCTCTACAGACCAAATCAAATTACAGGGGCAGAGATATTTTCCAATTAATCCTCACCTACAGAAACATGAATTGGAAATTTTAAAACACAATTGTTTCTTACCTAATCTTTTGGGGGATTTTGGTTGTTAACATATCTTTTTTTGGTTAATGGGAAAAATTCCAAAAATGTAAGCACTTATGACCTTGTGACCAAAATTAAATTAGACTTTAAGAAATCTTCTTACAGATTTACTCTTGCCCCTAGTGTAAATTAAGTTTGGCATTATCAGACTAGATAGAATGTAAAGCTGAGTATGAATGAACAAAAGAGGCTCTCCCCTGTCTTTAAGCCATATTCTCTCATGTTCATATAGATCTAGATATATACGTGAATGAAATTTTAGTGGCTCTTTAATTCTTGACCTTTCTTCATTCTTATCATTGTATAATCCCCTCTACACATATTCATGCCCACACTTAGAAAAAAATGGGTAACAATGACCAAATACAAAATACTGTTTAAATATTTAAATATCTGAGCCAAAAACCAATGACAATAGAAGTTATTGTATAATTCTGAATTACTTTGCAAGTAAGGGGCAAGATGTCACATTAGCTCTGTTGGCATTGCTGAACTATAAACTTTCTATACCTGTGATATAAAATGAGTTTTTAATTGGGCTGTATGATCAGCAGTTTATTTTGAAGAAGTTCTGTGAGGTCTAACTAATTGCATGGTTTGTGGCTTAATGTAATATAGGAAACTCTTCTCAAGAAACATTTTCCAAAAACATTTTTTATGAGTATCTTAAGTTTGTGAAACTACTGGAACATAATGCAGTAAGGTGTGACTTCAAACTTGAAGTGGCCTGTAGAGAGTTTTTATTGGATACCTGGTAATACGTAGGCAGGTGCAAAACCACACTGAGTTATAGCTCCCGGCACTTCTCACCCCTAATGCATTTGCCTTAAATACCAGCTCTTCCATTTCTGAGGTTAAACTAGTGCCTCAGAAATATAAAATGTGTTATTTTTTTTAGTATGGATTGGTTGGGAACAGTTGAAAACTCTTGAATTCTCAAATGCCAGAAGTCTACTGTAGCATCAGTAAGTATTTAGCAGAAACTAACTCCGTAATTAATGGAATTCAATTCCACACATGGTTTGTTCAAGCACACTTAATAAGTAGTCTATTTTTAAATGTCTTTTAAATGTAAATATTTGGATGAAGTTTTTCTTTGTTTCAGTATATTCATTTGCTACATCAACCATGGTTTCAGAATTCTCCTTTTGAACAACTTGGCTTTCAGTATCTGTAAAATGAATTTAATGATCTGTGTATCAAACCTGTCACCCAGACGTATGAGAATAATGTGTTTATAAAGCATGGATCTTGCTTTGGTTGTATAGTTTCATCATTCTGTACATGGTCTTAACCTACTTAAGTGACCTTTAGGACTGATCTTGCCCTCTAAAACGTCTGAGAAGTAGAGAGGGCTCCCCTTCTACTCCAGAGGAGAAGCCTCAGAGGAGTGGACTAGAAATCAGAAGGAAGAAACATTGATATCATGTTAATGAGGCTTTTAATCTTAAGCAGCTTCAGAAAATGTGACTGATCAGCAGAGGAGACATTTTAGATCTTGAGAAAATATTAAAGAGCTGTTGCCTTAAGTGTGTTTTGGCTCAGTTGGTATGAAGGAAAATTTGCTTGATTACTGCATTTTAATGATGATTATTTTAATTTGGGGGGTTTTTTTTTTGAGGTGGGGTCGCACAGTATTGCCTGGGCCGGCCTCGATTCCTAGGCTCTGGTGGTCCTCTCTCATTAACCTTCTGAGAAGCTGGGACTTCAGGTACATGCCATTATGCCTAGTATGAAATGATTTTTTTTTAAATTTTTTCTTACACAGCAGCATATATCCCCTCTCACAAGATTTTTATAGGCTATACTTGATTTTTCAAGTCATTAATTTTAGTTCCAAAATTAGATGTTAACATAAATTTAAGAACATTTTCAGATATACTTGAAATATTTCCACAGTTTGGATGGCATCTTTTGTAGCTATAGAACTAAAGTCAATAAATTTGCTCTAATTTTCTTAAATTGTACTTTCTTTGAACTACTATCTCCAGCTTAGAGAAAAGCAACTTAATATAAACAAAAGCCTTGTTACTAGGTAAGTAGAATATTAGATATCACAGTTAAACTGATGTGTGTCTGTGAGAATGTCACCATTATAGGATATTTAGGAAGAAAGAACAACACTCAGGAGCTGACTTGCAAACTCTAAATAATGATTTGTTCAGAATTTGTATAAATTTTGCTACTAAATATTTGTATAGTTTTATGCTTTTTCTTCTCAGTGCTGGGAATCAAACCCAGGGCTTTGCACTTGCCAGAGAAGCACCCTGCCACAGAACTTTGTCACTGTCCCATGTCCTTTTTCGTTTACATATACACTTAGACCCTTATGGTAATTAATATTATCTGAAGTTCTGGGGTGTGGTTTTTTTTTTTTCTTGTTCCTTTTGTTGTTGTTTGTTTTGTTTTAAGATTTTGGAGTTATTTAGGAACATAGTGTTTAGGTTTGGGTGTCATGTAGCTGCTTTTTTTAAGGAAACGAGAGGAACTTATATATTATTAAGTATCAGTTGTGAAGTGTGTTCCATTGGGTTTTTCTGTTTACTGTTTCATAAACCTTCCCATCAGCTCACTGAGGGAGGTATTAGTCTCATATTGTATGTGGAAAAATTAAAAACTTGAAAGTTGTACATGGTGGTTTATAACTGTAATCCCAGCACTTGGGAGTTTTAGGCAGGGAGATTGTGAGTTCAAGGTCAACTTGGGCTGCATAGCAAGACCCTGTGTCAGGGAAAAACATAATCTGCAAGATAGATTCCAAAAGTTGATTGGATTTTAAACTGTAAAAGTTGAGATATCCATCTTCATGTTAGAGATGAGAGTGAAGTATCTGCTTGGATTCTTCAGCCAGATGGTACTAATCTGAACTTACAGGTTAAGACTTTTTTCTAGTCTTTACTATTCAAATATGGATATCCACTAGGAATAGTGGGACATTGGGAAAAAAAAAAAAAAACCCAGCTGGGCACCAGTGGCTCACACCTGTAATCCTAGCTACTCAGGAGGCAGAGATCAGGAGGATCACAGTTCAAGCCAGCCCAGGCAAATAGTTTGCAACACCCTATCTCAAATCTATCGCAAAAAAGGGCTGGTGGAGTGGCTCAGGTGTAGGCCCTGTGTTCAAACCCCAGTACCACACACACACACACACAAAAGGAATAAAATCGAGTATACCAGGAAAACACAGGATAGCTATTATTTAAGTCTTAAGTCACAAAGACTTGACTGTCTTGTTTTGTTCTGCTGTCACTCATGCAGACTTCTGTAGGTGCCCTGGCAAACTCACCCTGGTGACACATCTATCTTCCTGTGAACCCTGTGTCTCGTTTGTTTATCCTCAGTTTCTAGCTCATAGTTTATGTAAAAACCTATTAGTGCTTAAAGGAAGAGCAAGAAGCAGTAGGCATGGCTCAAATGGTAGAGCTCCTGCCTAGCAAGCCCTGAGTTCAAACCCCAGTACCACAAAAAGAAAAGAAAAAAAAAAAAAGAAAAAGAAAATGTGGGCCAAGTTTTACTTGCCATTCTGTGTGACTGATACAACTCATAAATACTTCTTCTGGTAACCTGGTGTCATTGGCACATCTGTGAGGTTGGACAAAGTGGTCTGCCAAGCAGGGAATTGGTCTTAATAGTCCACATTGGCCACTGGTCAGAGGCAGCTCACCCCCAGAATGATGTGGAGACATGATTCTTTTATGAATTAAGAGATACTTAAAATGTTATTCTTAAATTGTCTGGTTCTGTTAATCTATAAACCCCTCATTAATACAGTGTTATTAAATAGTTCTTCGTTTCGATGTAGTTTTTTACTTACAAAAAAGGGAAAGAAAATACTCATGTTGCCAGGGTTCAAGTCCCAGCTCCTGTCTTAGCTGGGAAGTTTCACGTTCACTGTTTGCCTGCTGCCTGAGGTTGTTGGGAGTTCGTATGTGTCAAGTGTTTAAAACATGTCTGGCACACAGCCATGAGTGGTCCCTCTTACTGTTGTATAGCACCATTCTGTAATAACAGTCACCCCATTAATCTCAGGGTGGTGGGAAGGTGGAGTGTCTGGTACTTTTTGGACTCACATGTGAAGTAATAATTCTACTGAATGCAAGCTACGCAGTGTTCTTTCTGGGCTAACAAAAGTTCAGGGCTAGGATGTAGCTCAGTGGTAGAGCACTTGCCTGGGATGCACAGGCCCTGGTTCCATCCTCAGAACTATGAGAAGAAGAAGAAAAGTTGTAAGATAGGCATGTTGTATGACCAGCAGTGTGGATTCAGTGATAAACCATAGTAAAATGGCTGGCACAGGGAGGTTTTGTGTTAGAGCCTGCACATTGTGTTGTTCTTTTCTAGAATGTTTGAAGATGCTACATATTTTCCAGTGCAGTTCTTGGTGTTCAAAACATTTTTTAACTTATTTCAGAATCTATTTCAGCATTAGAATGAGACACCCAAACACAGTCTTTATTTCTGAGTAAATTTTTTTCAGAAATTGTATTGTTCTAGACATCCATCTTACATTTGTTAAAATAGGTGCTTACAGCCTAAAGGCATTTTAGAAAAGAGAATGAGAAATACTTTAAGCCAGGAATGGTAGCCTAAAGATTTGACTGTGTCTCATTTTGTTCTTCTGCTGTCCCTTATGCAGACTCCTGTAATCTCCAATATTTGGGAGGCAGAGATTCAGGAGGATCAC